ACCCCCTTTTCATGCATACTCCATTTACATATATTTCTGTATCTCTGTACCTTTAAACCATCTATTTTTTTTTTATTTTTGTTCTTTTAATGAACTTTAATCAAACCCTTTTTTTTTTTTTGAACTTTAATCAAACAACTTTTTTTTTTTTTTTCCTTTCTTTCTCTTTAAAAACAACTTTCTCACTCTAGTTTTCACATTTAAATAATTCAAATGGACTCATCACCTTTATAACATCACTCCCATACTCTTGAATCCTAATTTTGAAAAGTGATTTTAAAAATTGTCTCTGATTGGCCAATTACACTTTTGGCGCAATTTTCAAATTAACATAGCCCTATTTAAACAACCCCTGCCAGGTTACTACTTTTATCCCATTCTGAAGAAGCCACTTATGGTGAAACGCGTTTATGGTTATTAATTCTGTATTTTACTGTGTATTTTAGATCAATAAAAGTTTTTTGGCTACTTTATTGTACCAATCCTCTTTTTATTGCACTCTTTATGCACTTTAAATAACTTTTGTTTTTACCTATTCCTGGCATTTTAACCTTTCCTGGTTACTTTTACTTCCACTGGCAATTTTAAAGTTCCAGTACTCCAAGAAATCCTAGGTGGGGATCATACCACCGGCGCCTATCCATAGAGCAGTACCTCTGCTCTATCTTTGTGAGTATTATTTTATTTTCTCTACTACTCTCTTAACCTATCACAATTGAGAGCACTATTGCTGCTTTTTATTCTTCTATATTGGAGCCTTGGATCACCAGACGGTGCTGACGGACGTATCGCCGCTACATATCCTATAAGCGGGGATTATACCGCTGTACGCTATCCACACCAGAGCTGGCCATAGCTCCCTCAAATGTGAGTTTTTTACCTCTTCTTATCTGCACATTGAACCACATCAAAATTGAGAGCACTATTGTTGCTTTCTGTCTTTCTTTTCCGAGTTCTGGACTACCAGACGGTGTTGACGGAGACCCCCTCCCTACATATCCCATAAGCGGGGATTATACCGCTGTACGCAATCCACACCAGAGCTGGCCATAGCTCTCTTGAATGTGAGTTCTTTACTTTTTGTTACCTATCACACCCTGAACTTTCATACTATACCATTAGTCGCCTCTACCTCTCTTGTATTTACATATACGGAACGGTCTACACCAGACACATCCACAGAAGAACTCTATCAAGTATCCTAGACCATCTATTGGCACCCTAGCAATACTTTACTGGACTATCTACCTTTATTTGGCGCAGCCCTTCCATATCTTTTTGTATCTATCCACCGAAGGACCCGAGGGGTTTTCCTTCATTTGGGTTGCTGCCTACCTTGACTAATTTTGTGATTACTAGCGCTGAATTCTTTTTGTGTTTATATATTGTATGTATGTATGTGTGTATATGTATATATATATATATATTGTATGTATGTATGTATGTATGTGTATATATATATTGTATGTATGTATGTATGTGTATATACCGTATATACTAGTATAAGCCGAGTTTATCAGCACATTTTTTGTGCTGAAAACCCCCAACTCGTCTTATACTCGAGTCACTGTCTATATTATGGCAATTTACATTGCCATAATACAGACTGGGGGCTGGCAGAGAGCGCTTACCTCTCCTGCAGCTCCTGTCAGCTCTCTCCTCCTCCGCGCCGGTCCGGTCAGCACCTCGGTCAGCTCCCAGTGTAAGTCTCGCGAGTAGTGCGGCTCTCGCGAGACTTACAGTGTGAGCTGAGAGAAGAGCTGCACGGACCGGCGCGGAGGAGGAGCTGCAGGAGAGGTAAGTAGCAGCTCTGCCAGCCACCCTCCTCCCCCCCACTGAACTGCCAATGCCACTGGACCACCAGGGAAGGAGAGCCCCCCTCCCTGCCATGTATCAAGCAGGGAGGGGGACAACAAAATAAATAAATGAATAATATATAAATAATAATAAAAAAAATAATACAACAAAAAATTAAAATAATATCAATTAATAATATATAAATATAAATAATAATAATAAAAAATAATATAACCAAAAAAATTATTTTTTTTTATAAAAATGCCCACCCCCCACCAAGGGTGTGCAACACAAACACACACTGCATCACACACACACACACTGCATCACACACACACACACACACACTGCATTCATACACACACACTGCATTCATACACACACACTGCATCACACACACACTGCATCACACACACTGCATTCATACACACACACTGCACTCATACACACATACACTGCACTCATACACACACACTGCACTCATACACACACACTGCACTCATACACACACACTGCATTCATACACACACACTGCTGCACTCATATACACACTGCATTTATACACACACTGCGCACTCATACACACACTGCACATTCATACACACACACTGCATTCATCATATACACACACTGTAAATAAATATTCAATTAATATAATTTTTTTAGGATCTAATTTTATTTAGAAATTTACCAGTAGCTGCTGCATTTCCCACCCTAGTCTTATACTCGAGTCAATAAGTTTTCCCAGTTTTTTGGGGTAAAATTAGGTGTCTCGGCTTATATTCGGGCAGGCTTAGGCAATGTATGATCATATAATGTAACTAAACCCACATTATTTTTGCCTAGATTAGGTGTTTTTAAAAAAACTAATAACATTTTTCAACATTGAAGTTGCTGTTTAGTGGATAGGTGAGTGTGCTGGATCTTGTGTTTTGTATTATTTGGCCCCCAGCAGCACCCCCATTTATGCATGTTCAGGTGAGTGCAGCCACCCCCCCCCCCTTGATATAGATATATATAGATATAGATATATATATATATATATATATATATTATGTGTGTGTGTGTATATGTATGTGTGTGTGTATGTATATATGTGTATATTTATGTGTCATTATGTATGTATGTCAATATGTGTGTGTATTTATGTCCTTTGCATATGCGTGCAGTGTACAGAGGAATGCGTTTATATTGTCCGGCCCCAAACAGTGTCTGAGGGACCGTGAACTGGCCCCCTGTTTAAAAAGTTTGAGGACCCCTGGTATACACGACATTTTGTTTATCCCAACGCAGCTAGTGTGGTTTTGCTGTTGAACGTCTGGAACCAAGGACTCCAGGACCCGCCGGGCTTGTAATGGGCCTAGCGTTACTGGTATGTATTATCGTCAATATCGGTATCTCTATTTGCCGAAAATACTGAATATCGGCTAGACTGATAATCGGTCAATCCCTAATAGTTACGATAAAATACGGGCCCCGTGCAGCAGAGCTCTCACAAGGCTTCTTGCCACTCCCCTATATACAAAATTTTGATATTGAAGTGGTTAAAGCACAAAAAATATTTTTTAATGTCTTTCCTAATCACCATGATATTTCATGGACATATTTTTTCATTCACAAAAGTGTCAGGTTTTCTAAGTATTGTAAACCATAAATATTTTATAGTTAAAATTTTTCTTTAATTCACATTTCTTGCAGGTGTTTCTGTCAGCAGACGTTATCCTAAAATTTGACAAGAACAAAAATACACCATGCAAGACTATAAAGAAATCTATCACTAAAACGACCAAAAATTCCAACTCTCAAATGTCAAGGAACTTCTCAGAATCCAATATGTCTACAAATGAGATTGTAACAAACAAAACAAAACCGTTCCCATGTTCACAATGTGGGAAATGTTTTCGCTCATATTCACAATGCGTTGTCCATCTCAGGAGTCACACAGGAGAAAAAAGTTTTGTATGCTCTGACTGTGGAAAGTCCTTTTGCCATCACTCACAACTTGTGATCCATCAGAGATCCCACTCAGGAGAGAAACCTTATCCATGTTCTGAATGTGGAAAATGTTTTAGCCGGCACCCGCATCTTGTGATCCATCAGAAAACCCACACAGGAGAGAAACCTTACTCATGTTCTGAATGTGGGAAAAGTTTTACTAGTAAACCAAGTCTTAATAGACATAATCAGAAAACCCACACAGGAGAGAAACCCTTCTCATGTTCTGAATGTGGGAAAAGATTTGTGGGTAAATCGGAACTCGTTATACATCTGAGAACCCATACGGGAGAGAAACCTTTCTCATGTTCTGAATGTGCAAAATGTTTTGCACAGCTCTCACATCTTATTAAACATCGCAGAACCCACACAGGAGAGAAACCATACTCATGTTCTGAATGTAGGAAAAGTTTTAGTGTTCGAACAAAGCTTCTTAAACATCAGAAAATCCACACAGGGGAGAAACCGTTCTCATGTTCTGAATGTGAAAAATGTTTTGTTAACAAACCAAGTCTTATTAATCATCAGAGAACCCACACAGGAGAGAAACCGTTCTCATGTTCTGAATGTGGAAAATGTTTTGCAACTAAAATGGAGCTTATTACACATCAGAGAACTCATACAGGAGAGAAGCCTTTCTCATGTTCTGAATGTGAAAGATGTTTCACTCAGCATTCACATCTTGTAATACATCAAAGAACCCACACAGGAGAGAAACCTTACTCATGTTCTGTATGTGGAAAATGTTTTGTAAGTAAATCATGTGTTGTTCAACATCAAAGAATCCACACAGGAGAGAAACCGTTCTCATGTTCTGAATGTGGAAAATGTTTCGTCCGTAAATTAGAGCTTGTTGCACATGAGAAAACCCACACAGGAGAGAAACCTTACTCATGTTCTGAGTGTAAAAAATGTTTTGTCAGTAAATCCTATCTTGTTACACATCACAGAATTCACACGGGCGAGAAACCTTTCTCATGTTCTGAATGTGGTAAATCTTTTGTTAAAAAATCTGCACTTGTTCGACATCAGCAAACTCACACAGGTGAGAAAACTCCTAACACAGTATAATGCATCTATATATTAACATTATATAACATTAACAATTAAATGCTGACAAAATAAATGAGTGTGAGAGTAACAGTTAATGTACAAATGATGGTATCGTGATAACCCTGCAGAGCCCCTCTTTACCTCCTTCCCCTATAGTATTACGGTTAAATTTGAAAACCACTTCCATGTTCAGCTCTTGCTTTGTTTAATGTTTGTTTTTGTTGTTGCGCATATTATCTGGTTAGCCCCTTGACGACCGGTGACGGCTCTGAACCGTCATAAAGGTCACGTGTACTTACCCGATCGCTGTCGTTCCCTCGGCGGTGCTCCCGGTGTGGGGAGACTGCGTGCAGCCCAGACAGTCTCTCCATGGCAAATTAGGACCCCGGGGGCCATGTGATTGCTCAACAGAGCGGTCATATGGTCACAATAGGTATCCTAGTGACTGCCTGTGCTGTCAGGCAGTCTCCCTGCAAGTGTAAAATAATAAAAATATATAATTATATGTATGTGTGTGTGTGTGTGTATATATATATATATATATATATATATATGTGTGTGTATATATATATATAAATAAAACATATTATATCTATATATGTCTATATATTATATATACGGTCATAATAAGTGTATTTTTATATTATATACAAATATTAATATAAAAATACACTTAGAATTAAATAACACACGTGTGTGTATATAAATATATATATATATATATATATATACACAAAATATAACTATACATCTTGTGTGTATATATATTATAATAAAATACAAATAAGTAAATTAATTGGAAAAAATGTAAAAATAATTAAATTGTAAAAAAAATATATCTATATTAAGTTTTATTCAAACTGTATTTTGATATTAATATATATTTATATCAAAATACACTTAGAATGAAATTGTGCATATATATGTGTATATAAATAAAAATAATACGAAATATACATATGTCCATATACAAAATTACATAAATAATTATTTAAATATACGTAGACTTCAAATCTATAAATATGCATATATATTTAAATTCTACATCCGTATTTATGTAATATTTTTGCATAATTAAGTAATTTTATTGATTGCAATTTGAGGGACCTGCCTGCCAACCAAGGCCGAAAGTTCAGAGAATTTAATTTGCTAGCACTATATTCTACCCTGTAACTTTCTATGACACCCTAAAACCTGTACATGGGGGTACTGTTTTACTCGGGAGACGTCGCTGAACACAAATATTAGTAAACAGTAAAACATATCACCGCGATGATATTGTGAGTGAAAGTGATTTTTTTTTCACACACAAACAGCACTTTTACTGATGATATAATTGTTGTAATACATTTTACTGTTTTGAAACACTAATATTTGTGTTCAGCAAAGTCTCCCAAGTATAACAGTACCCCCCATGTACAGCTTTTATAGCATTTTTGAGAGTTACAGGGTCAAATATTTCTACATTGAAAAATGCCAGGTTGGTTACATTGCCTTTGAGAGCATATAGTAGCCCAGGAATGAGAATTACCCCCATGATGGCATACCATTTGCAAAAGTAGACAACCCAAGGTATTGAAAATGGGGTATGTCCAGTCTTTTTTAGTAGCCACTTAGTCACAAACACTGGCCAAAATTAGCAATCAATTTAGTTTTTTTCCTTTTTCACACACAAACAAATATGAACGCTAACTTTGGACAGTGTTTGTGACTAAGTGGCTACTAAAAAAAAGACTGGACATACCCCATATGGAA